CGCCCCACCCGCCCCAGCTGCTCCCTCCCACTCTGTGGCTCCACCCCCTCCCATTCCCTGAGACCACGCCCAATTTTTGCTAACTCCTCCTACTCCCCGAGCCCCGCCCACCCCAGATGGCTCCTCCCAGTCTCCATGATTACACCCCTCCTATTGAACCCCTCCCACTCCCTGAAGCCACGCCCAGCCTTGCTAGCCCCTCCCACTCTCCCAACCCTAGCTGTCCCCTGCTGTACTTTGCATGGCCCACCCTCCTCGATGGCTCCTCCCTGTATGCCTGGCCACGCCCACCCACGCTGGCCCCCGCCCCCTCTGGTACCTGGGGTGTGAAGGCGAACTTGTAGAGCTTGAAGTGGTGGAAATAGGTGTTCTGCACGTAGTCCTCGACCGCGGCTGCCTGCCAGGGGCTGAACAGGTCAATGCTGAACGGTGGGCGCTGTGGGACAGGAGAGGGCACTGCTGGGAGAAGCTCGCAGCCTCGGGGCACTGTTAGGGGACAGCTCACGGCGGGGTGGGCCCTCACCCGCACGCAGTGGCAGAGCAGCAGACGGCGGAAGTAGCTCAGACACTCATCCAGGTTAGGCAGCGGAGTCTCTGCGGGCACCGGGGCACGGGTTCGGCGCTGGCCACGCCCCTCCTGTGGGGCCCCGCCTCCCTGTGGACTTTGCTTGTCCCCCCCTTCTTGACTCCTCCCACTAGGAGGCTGCCCTGTGACTCCGCCTGGCCTCACATTCCTGGGGCCCAACCCTGGGCCCCGCCCCTTCCCTTCCAACTCCTCCTCTTCCTGCTAACCACACCCACTGCCTCCAAGCCCCTCCCTTTCCAGCCAAGCCCCTCCCCAGACCTCTAGTCTTGCCCCTTCCCTCCAAGCCCCTCTCCATCCTTCGAGCCCCGCCCACTTGCTCCAAGCCCCTCCCTTCCCTCTAGCTGTACCCACTCAGTTCAAGCCCCTCCCCATCCCTCCAAGCCCCACCCACTCCAAAGTCCGTCTCCTTCCCCGTTCCTCTAGCCCCACCCATTCCATTCAAGCCCCTCCCCATAACTTCAAGCCCCACCCACTCCAAAGTCCCTCCCTTTCCCTCCAAGCTCCATCCCTTCCCTCTAGCCCCACCCATTCCATTCAAGCCCCTCCCCTTCCCTCCAAACCCCACCCACTCCCTAAACCCCACCCACTCCTAAGCACCTCCCCTCCCCATCAAGCTCTTGCCCACTCCAGCCCCACTCACTCACCATTGGCCTTCCCATCCCTTCAAGCCCCTCCTTCTCCCTTCAACCCCTCTTTTCCACCCCTCCATCCTCCATTTAGGCTCCTCCCCTTCCCTCTAGGCCCACCCCATGCCCCTCTTACCGGTGCAGGCCTGGTGGGTGTCATGGAGGATGGAGAAGAGGGCAGAGGCCTGCTCGGGGGTGAAGCCCTGCTCCCGCCCGAACCACAGCGCGTGGGTGTAAAGGTCCAGCAGGATGGCGGCTCGCCCGCCCTGTGCCCCCCCGTCCAGCTGCAACACCTCTGCTAGCACCCTACAGAGCGGGGACCACTGCAGCTGGCTCTGGGGTGGGCATTTGGGGCTGAGTGTAACAGAGCTGCAGCCAACTCTGCGGTGGGCGCCGGGTGTAACAGAACTGTGGCAAGCTCTGGGGTGGGCACTGGGGGCTGAGTGTAACAGCAGTGGCCAGGTCTGGGGTGGATGTCAGAGGACGAGTGTAACAAAGCTGCAGCCAGCTCTGGGGTGGCAGTGGGGGCTGGGTGTAACAGAAGTGCAGCCAAGGCTGAGTGTATTGGAGTTACAGCTGGGTCTGGGGTGACACTGGGGGCCAGGTGTAATAGAGCTGCAGCTGGGTCTGGGGTGGGCGCCAGGGGCCGGGTCAAAGGTCACTCACCCCCTCATCTCCTCTATGGTCCGGGTCTGGTTGATGAGGTCCATAGAGTGAACATCCAGGTACTTCCTGCAGCAGGCAGAGTTGCGCTGACACTGTGATGTGGCTGGCTCTGGGGTGGGGCACTGAGATGGGTACAGGGGTGCTGCGATGCAGCTGACTCTGGGGTGGGGCATTGAAGGCTGGGTACAGGGGTGTTGTGATGCTGCTGACTCAGGGGTGGGGCACTGGCCTAGGTAGAGGGGTGCTGTGATGCAGCTGGCTCTGGGGTGGAGCTGCCCCATGCCCCATACTCACCACATGCAGATCTGGGCTTCATGGTGCTGGGGCTACAAGAAAGGGAGGCAGGTGTGAGCCTGGGCATGGAGGCATGGATGCTGGAGTGGGGCATAATTTGTGGGGTGCAGGCACCCCCCTCCAGGGCCCCTGTGAGAGAGCAGGATGGAATGGGGCAGGCCCAGATGCCTGGGTAACAAGGCTGGGGTTCGCTAAGGGGAATGGGGGTGCTCTGTGCTGCAGGGGTGACTCGCGGCCCAGGGCAGGGGGTGGATGCCCAGCCCCATCAGGGGTGCCCTGGCCAGTCCACCTGGGGATGCCAACCCGATCATGGATGGGGCCCAGCGCTAGCACCCGCGGGTGGGGAAAGGCAGGGACACATGGGTGTGTGTATGGATATATGTGGGGGGGGTGTAGTGTCTGCATATTGGTATTTGTGTGCGTGTGTATGGTGTCTGTATTTGCGTATTTATGGTATTTGTGTATGTAACATCTGTGCATTTGTCTATTTTATGGTATTTCTGTATGTGTGTGTGTGCACTGTCTGTATCTGTGTTTATAGTATTTGCGCGTGTGTGTAGTATTTGTGTATTTCATGGTATTTGCGTGTGTATAGTTGCATAGTGTCTGTATTTTTGTGCTCCATGGCTTGTGTGTGCGTGTCTGTATTTATAGATGTTTGTGTACGTATATGTTTAATGCTACAAGTGTGTATTTGTGGGGGGTTTAATATAATATATTATGTGTGTGTTTCAAGCTGCATGTGTTCTGTGTAGTTAATGCTGTGTGGATTTATACAATATAGGCACATGTATTCCCACAAGCTCAGGTCACCAGCAGGGGAAGTGCTGCGGGGCCAGGGACTGCAGGCCAAAGGTGTGCACGAGGAGTGGTTGCTCCTGAAGGACACGATCCTTGAAGCACAAAGGAAGTCTGTTCCCACGCGGAGAAAAGGTACCGGAAGGGCTGGGAAGCCGTCTTGGCTAAACAGGGGAGTCACGGTCCTCAGAAGAAAGAGGCTAATAAGCGCTGGAAGCTCGGGACGGGCCCCAAGGACTATTCCACAACAGCCCGCGTTTGCAGGTAAGAAAGGCTAAAGCGGCGACAGAACTTCGATTAGCGACGGGGATCGAGGGCAAGGAGAAGTCCTTCTTTAGGTACGCAGGGAACAGGAGGAAACAAATGGGAGTGGGGGCCACTGCTCAACAGCTCAGGAGAGCTGGGTACCGGCACCCAGGAGAAAACTGAACTCCTGAATGACGATGGCGTCTCGGTCTTTCACGGGACCAAGGGGAAAACCACAGCAGGTAGAGTAGAGGATGAGCACGGTAGGAAGAATCGCCTTCCTACTATTGCTGTAGAATGGGTGTATGACCGATTAAAAACATTGGACGTACATAAGTCAGCGGGACCGGACGGTCTGCATCCGAGAGCGCTGAAGGAGCTAGCCGAAGTCATTGCGGAGCCCCCGGCGAAACTCTCCCACACCTCGTGGCGCTCGGGAGAGGGCCAGTGCTGTGCCCATCCACAAGCAGGGCAGGAGGGAGGGCCCGGGTGACTATAGGCCGATTACCCTGACTTCCATCCTGGGGAAAATGCTAGAAAAGTCCATCAAGCAGCCTGTCTGCGATCAGCTTGCAGAAGGCTGGATCCTGAACGACAGCCAGCGTGGCTTCACCGTGGGCAGGTCTTGCCTTACCAACCTCACCTCCTTCTGCGACCAGGTAACTCGCCACCTGGGCACGAGAGAGCAGGCTGGCATTGTGTCCCTCGACTTCCAAAAGGCCTTTGCTGCGGTATCCCACCATGTCCTCGCGACAGCATCGGAGGATTGTGGGCTTAACTCCGAGAGTCAGAGGTGAGAAACGGGCTGCGGGGCAGGACCCAGAGCGTCGCAGCGAACAGATCCGTGTCGTCCTGGTGAGAAGCGGGCAGCGGTGTCCCGCAGGGGTCGGTGCTCGGTCCAGTGCTTTTCAACATCTGTATTAACGATTTGGACGTGGGGGTGAAGAGATCGCTGGCCAAGCTCACGCACGACACCGAGTTATGGGGGAGCGCGGTCACGCTTGAAGACAGGCTGCAGATACAGGCGGACCTAGACAGGCTGGCAAGTTGGGCGGGCCGGAACCAGTTAAGTTCAACACTTAGAAACGTGAGGTGCTCCAACCTGAGACGATCAACCCCCTCCCTGCGCACCTACGGGCTTGGCAACACCAACCTGACCAGCGCCACGAATAGAAGGGACCTGGGGGAATACCTGACCACAGTGTGAACATGAGCCGGCACGCGATGCTGTAGTCAGCAGGGCAAATAATACTCTGGCATGCATCCACTGCATCTCCAGCGAAGCCAAGGAGGTGATTCTTCCGCTCTACTCCACACTGGTGACACCGCAGCTGGAGCACCGCGTCCAGGCCTGGGCACCGCACTTCAACAAGGACGTGGACAAGCTTGAGAGAGTCCAAAGAAGAGCCACCCGTACGACCAGGAACGTACATGGCAAGACATATGAGGAAAGGCTGAGGGACCTGGGATTCTTCAGCCTGAGGAAGAGAAGGCTGCGAGGGGCGTCCGCTGGTGTGCGGGTGCTCTCCAGGGTGCAATTCATAGATTCATAGATGTTAGGGCCGGAAGGGACCTCGATAGATCATCAAGTCCGACCCCCTGCATAGGCAGGAAGGAGTGCTGGGTCTAGATGACCCCAGCTAAATGCCTCTCCAACCTCCTCTTGAAGACCCCCAGGGTAGGGGAGAGCACCACCTCCCTTGGGAGCCCGTTCCAGACCCTGGCCACTCGAACTGTGAAGAAGTTCTTCCTAATGTCCAGTCTAAATCTGCTATCTATGAACTCCATCCATCCCCCCAGCCCTATAGACCTCTGTCCATTCATCCATCCACCCTGATAACCCTTCCATCCCCATAGATGCTTTCCCCACCACCATCCATCCACGCACCGAACCAATCCCTCCCTCCAGTGAGCCAGTCCATCCATCCCAGGTGTCTGGTGGGGGAGTGCGTGGGAGAGATCCTGTCCCCCAGGTGCCTCAGTTTCCCTTCTGCACCCATCCTCCAGACCCTTCGGTTCCACATGTCCATGTCCACCCCCCTCCCAGACACCTGGGATCCACATGTGTGTGTGTGTGTGTGTGTGTGTGTGTGTGTGTGTGTGTGTGTGTGTGTGTAGGATTTTGCCACGCAACTCACACTCTC